GTTGATCTGACCTGTGTCTTGTTCTCCAACCTTCGCAAGTCCTTGTTGAAGTTTGGGAGTTGGGATCATCTCACCACAACTGCTTTGTGTAATGGAGCCCTGGCCAGCTGTGAAGCAACAACTAGTCCTATTGATTCCTCCAACAGTGTAAGAACTCTCCAAGACAGCCTCTTAGGGTAACTTGTCTACATAGCAAAGTGTCCCCCCTGGAAGCCAACACCTTCCTATTGATTCCACTGAGTTTGACATTTAAAACACACAAGTTGACGGCCATAGGTGGCAACGCTGCACATAAACGAATGAGCTCGATGCTGAGCTGTGATACTGAGCTGGCAGAGCGTGTGTCGGCTGAAGGGAAATTGACATCAGGTTCAAATACCATAGAAAACTTGAAGATTTCCGATCCTAGTGTCATGATTGCAAGGAAGTTACATTTCATATTGATCCATGTGAAATGTACACATTTTCTTTGCTGTGAGGTGGGTAGCCTATTGGTTAAAGCGGTCGCTCGTCAAGCCAAAGACCCGGGTTCAATTCCCCACATGGGTACAATGTGTGAAGCTCATTTCTGGTGTCACCAACCGTGATATTGTTGGACTGTTGCTAAAAGCAGTGTAAAACTAAATTTACCCACTCACTCACGCACTGCTGTGAAATATGATAGGAGTGAGTGAGTTGTAGGGGAAGAGGCAGTGTGTGAAAATCAAGTAATCTAATATCCCTGCTTCAGCTCTTCCACCACATACCTCTGTCATGTTTACAGCCACTTACTGTCACTGTCCATTAGCAAGGTCAGTTTTGACCAGATTCTTCAAGGGAATATGATGTTTGTAATACAATGGTTCCTCTTTTGTTTCATAGGCACCAGATTTGTTTACAGCTATATGATACTGGTTAGTGTCCAGCTGGGCAATGTGCAAGGAAAGTTGGTATGTTTGATCACTCCATTACTGACAGTATTCAGAGGAACAGATGAGCTGCGTATCAGTGTAAATTACTCAAATATTTATCTGAAAACTCAATTCCTTTTAGGGGCGGTGGGGTAGCCTAGTGGTCAAAGTGTTGGCTCATCACACCGAAGACCTGGGTTCGAATCCCCAGATGGGTACAATGAGTGAAGCCCATTTCTGGTGTCCCCCGCCGTGATGTTGCTGGAATATTGCTAAAAGCGGCATAAAACCAAACTCAGTCAGTCAGTCAATTCCTTTTAAGACTATTGCGTACATGTATGCTTGAATTTTTGTTCATACAATTACTCAATAAATTTGATCTTAGCTTGCATACCAGTAGATAGATAAAATAACTGAGGTACATTGAGAGGTTCTATTTTAACAGATGAACTTGGCAACTTGCTGTCCCTTCTTACCGTTTCTCATATTACAGATCAAATACGAATAACAAAGACCAACATTTAAACTTTATCCTATTTTACAATTAATGGAAAATGGCAAAATACCAACTGAGTTTGAGTGAGGTGGGTATAATCTATTTGGTTACTCAAAGAAAACACAAGCGAGTACATAACTCATTGACCCAAAACGTTATCTGTAGCTCTGGTATTATTTCAATACAAGGTCCTTTCTAAAATGGGGCGGTGGGGTAGCCTAATGGCTAAGGGGTTCGCTCGTCACGCCGAAGACCCGGGTTTGATTCCCCACATGGGTACAATGTGTGTAGGGTAGCCTACTGGTTTAAGCGTTTTCTTGTCATATCGAAGACGATTTCCCACATGGGTAATATGTGAAGCCCATTTCTGGTGTGCCTCCATCGTGATATTGCTGGAATATTGTTAAGAGTGGCATAAAACTAAATTCACTCCCCCAAACTGGTAGCAATTTCTGAGTGAGTGAGTAATAAAGCTTGCACGCCTTAAAATAACTCAGATGACATACAGAGTTGAGCGTAACCTGGCTCTCTCTGATAAATAAGTTAAGGAGCTATCAGATGTAGAGGAGGATTTAATAAACGCTGCCGAAATGATAAATAATGAATTTTGTTATAGAGCTACATTTCAGCAACTGATTAGACCATTTGTCATCCCTGTTAAAAGTTTATGATGAGAAATATGCTTGAAATTTTAATGTTGTACCTTGCTGTGATGATAAGCCCAGAATTTCATCTCCTGCTAAACTCTATATGAAAGTTTCTAATGGTTTGGAGATAGTGTTTAGTTTGTATTGTTTAAAGAAAGATATTTTCAGTGTATTTTACTGAAAACATGTTAACCTAATTGATTTCTGTGATGTCAGTTTTTACTGAAGCTGATTTTTATCATACATTGCTGTATTGTAGTGTTGCAGAAGAAATGGGTGGTAGAGTTACCTCCTTTGTGTGTGTTGGCTTCACTCAGTGTGAACTATGACCTGTAGTCTTGCAGTATTGAACCATAATGGTACCATATCTTTAGCATCCGTCTTAAACTGAGAGTTGTTTTGATGCAAACATTGCAACTAATATTCAGTTTTCATGTTTCAAAATCTACAACAATTGTGGGAATAACATTCAGTATTTAATGTGTTCTCACTCTCTTTGCCAACATGATTGACACCAGGGTTATACCAACAGACATCAGACCAACATCGTACTAACATCACACAACACAACATCACAACAACATCAAACATTACTGAACATCATCTGCAAACATCACACTAACATCACATCAACTAAACACTAGGGCTGCAACGAATACACTATGTGGCGAATATGATACGTATCATGAATAATGGGTAACGAATACGAATAATTATTCACGAATACAATATTGTAGTTAAGTGATTGATGTACAATATGGAACGTCCATGTTCACAGTTTTGATTTGTCACACCAATAACCAGTGATCTCATGACACTCAAATTTGGTATGTAATAGTTATAGTCGACAGTACCATGTGCGGCCTTCGCAAACTAACATGACTTGCGCTACTGCAATGCTAGTACATGTTCAGTCCTTGCATATCTCACTTTCCAAAAGTACACAAGGGTTCAAGTAAAACATGCTCCCTTAAAAAAATCGTAAATATTCCTTAATATTCGGTTCTGGTGACCACGAATAACGAATTGAATTCATGAAGGGCTACAGTTCGATTCACCCGAATATGCAAGTGAATCGTTACAGCCTTACTAAACACCAACATACCAACGCTTGTTGGGTCAGTAATGTGGTACATGATAATCTAGGGAACACATCAAGAACTGACTACCATGTTGCATTTGAAATATCATTGCAAGCATGATTAGACATGTTAAAGAAAATCTTCAAGTTTTACTAAAGATACTAATCTAAAATAATTCAGTTCTTACGTATGTGTCAATGCTCCCTGAGAAGTATGATTTATGTAACACATACTGCAAAGCTAACAGTTTATTCCAATAAATACCAAATGTTTTTATCGAACACCTTTATCAAATGGCCATTTATTGCCAACCTTCAAAGCCCAATTTACTTGAACCGGATTGTATTCTTTATTGTAGACTGATATGGTCACACCTGTAAACGTGATTCCTGTCACCTAATTATGGGTGACCCAGATGGATCTATTTCCGAACCTCCCCTCAGGTGATACGTAGTGGTCACTGATATAGATTGTCTCAAGTTGAGTTCAGTAGGTCATTGTGAGGTGTAATTACATCCTGCTTATATTTAACGTATTCCCATATATATACTACTGAAAGGAAATTGGAAACACTGGTGGCCCTGTTGTCTGAGGTGACTCAATTTGCTGTGCAGAGTTGTGTCCCTTGGGCATGGTTGTGATCTTGAATCATTGGTTTAAATACCAGTACAATTTAACAGGGTTATACCTCGACTCACAAACATGGGGGTCCCAGGGACCCCCAATATTAGCTTTAAGGGTCCTTGCAGGCAATATGAGGGCCAAGTGAAGTAACACTGTACGTTTTGATAATTCTTCAGAGCCTGAAATGAATCATTGATCATGTGGACCGAGGGATGAAATCATGCACATGACTGCTCAGGAAAACACACCAAAAAAACACTTAGCAAAGTCATAGATGTGTTTGACTAATATTGTGTGTTCCCCTCACGCATATTTGTGCGTCACATAAAAGCATGACTTAATTATGGTTCTAAGTTTGTCAACTGTAACTGTGGGTTTTATACTAGTGTCGAATGTCTGAGACCTCCATTTCTTTGAGTTTTCCTCCCATATAAAACTAAGTTGCTGTGATATATCTTGAATACTGTTAAACCAACGCACTCACTTACTCCAACAGATCAGTATAGTTAATGTGTGATGCCAGTTAAAGAGCGTTTGATTCATTCATATTCCACGCCATGTCATCACCAATTAACTGTAATATAATGAAAGAAGAGGGAGTTCTTTAACTTATTCTAAGTAGAATATTATGCGTTTACCAAGACCCGTTATGCATTGTGTTCTCCCATATTAGAATCACAGTGTGTGAGCCAAGTCACTGGCTCTATCCTGCTTTAAACTAAGAATTCTTGGAAGATAATTAAAAAAAAGACGCTACAATTTTGTTCAGAATTCAGATTTTTTTTAAGCCCTGTTTTTCATATATTTGAGGTCTTTTCACATTACATTGAAAACTGTGATGAAAAAAAACTTTAAAAAGCCTTCCTGTTGATTGATCCAATTACCATGGAGATGCAAGTCACCTCTGTTAGGTCTTGACATTGGTTTGAACTATGACTATAAGAATTGGGAAATATTCCATTTTTGGACTTTGTGATGACATTTGCTTCAATCTTTAGCTGAATCCCCACCTCTGAGCAGCTCCAGATAAATCCCTGGACTAGCCAGAATTAATATTGCGAAGTTTTGTATGGAACGTTTTACCAAGATGAGGGTTGTAGTTGGTTTATTTAGTTGGACATCAGTACAAACTCAGGTTAGAGTTGGTTCAACGACGTGCCGCAGATCAATGCCAGACGTAGGACAAGGTAGCATTTGAATAATTAAACATGTAGGCAAATGAAATTATGTTTTAGCGACAACCATACTTGCTGCATTTCAGGTGAGAGAGTGCAGCATTATACAAGTGACATGTTCGCGGAGCTGTTATCATTCTGAAGATAACAGTATCACTAGATGAAGATTGTCTGTTGTGTATGTATTCTATACACAAGGTATCGCCTGTGACTATACCTCGTCTACAATCAGCGTGTTTCATCTGGTTGGCAGTGTTTCTTTTCGAAAGGATCCTCCCACAACTTGTAGACTAACCCCAGAAGATATATCCATTAACACCAGACCTAGGTGTATACGGCATTGTCTGAGAGGGATATTTCACCAGAACCTTTCTAAAATAGACAACTGACTTTTTTCTTCTGTGAATAGATGGTTAATAGGTCTTTCAGCAATTGTGCCTGCAGTTCTCTCGTGTACTTCAAGGAGAAGAGATACAGGCAGATAGTTACGACTCTTGTGCAGTCGCAATCATAGCCTTTCATACCAGATGCTCTTACAGGTTGTTAGGCGATTGAGAAATACGACCTTCTAATATTTCCTTGATTACAGCCGGGTTTTCACTGTACACATCGTGCATTGTGACATTTGTGTTGATGTGAAATGGACACTGTATGATAGAGATGTGACTGAAAAAAGCATCTTTTAAATAACGTGGATTACAAGACAAAAGGTTTCATTGGATATATAACACCATGATGGATCATTCCAAGTCCCTCTCCGATACAGAGCAGCCGATGACAGAAGGTAAGGGGATGCTATCCTTGCATGTGTCTAATTATGGTCGATATTGATATGTTTTGATATCAAGTGGTGATAAATGTGTTATACAACACCCATCAAGGCATCGTCTTTCAGTGTGCATGCAAATCTGTTCAGTGATCTTTTGTTTGAAGGCTCATATGGTTATATCATTTGTTCATGCACCAGCTTGAGACAATTATGCTGTATCAGCAGTTTTAACTGCATTAGTTTGAATGTCTTCAGTCTTATCAATATGTTGTCTCAGCTTGTTCAGATTTAGTTCATTTACTTTTAGACAGTTTTAAGAACTATTGTGTACCATTGGTGTGGTGTATGTATTATATAGGTATAACATAATGAATTACAATAATGAGAATAATGTCATTTTTACAAAAGCATCATCCATTCCCTATGAAGGAAAATTAGTTCTTGATAAAACTAAGGTGCAATGGGGTAGCCTAATGGTTCAAGGATTTGCATATCATGCCGAAAACCTGGTTTCGATTGCCCCACATGGGTACAATGTGCAAAGCCCATTTCTGGTGTACCTTGCTTATATTGCTGGAACATTGATAACAGGCTTAAAACCTTCCTCAATCACTGAAAAAAAATGAAATTGTCATCTGCAGTTACAAGGAAAATAGGAGTTTATTAGTTGATGCAACATGATCAGTGTGTTTGATTCATCCTTAACAAGTCCTTCGCAAGTTCCATTACTTGTTAAAGTGAAGGGTGAAGCACTAGAAATAACGTATAACAAGGTACCATATTGATCATGTGCTTGTTTTCCCCAGAGTCTTTGAAACAACAACAAACAAACAAGTCATGACTGAAGATGATGAATGATTGTCACAAACACAATAGACCGCCTCCATGGTGTAGAGGTTAGAGCGTCCGCCCGGAGAGCGGAAGGTCATGGGTTCGATCCCAGACCGCGTCATACCAAAAGACGTTAACATTTGGTACTTGTTGGTCCCTGCCTGGCGCTCGGCATTAATGGGTACGACAAGGACTGGTCGGTTCGGAGTCAGTATAATGTGTCTGAGTGGGGTATTCATGCTTTACTGCGGCATGGTATCTCAGTGGGCTAGCACTATAAAACCAGCTTAAGTCTTGGCTAGTACAAGCAGCCGCACATACCCATACACACGCATGCACGACGTTAAACCCAATTTCACCTCACCTTACAAACACAATAGCAGGTCTACCGGCTATGACTGGCACTAAGTAGGTTTTGTCAGTTTTTCCCTGCTATGATATTGCTGGAAAATTGCAAAAAAGTGGCGTAAAACTAAAGCCTTAAACAGGGACCCCTTTACCCTTCTCACCTTGACCTTGATTTTTCAACATTGTATGATATATATTCATGGGAAACAGTATTCCATGCAGAGTTGTTTAAGTTTTTGATTTCAGAGTTTATAGTCAAATAGTTACAATCAACAAAATTAAAACCTGGACTTTGTGAGAAATTTACAAGATTGCGGCCAAGGGTCAGATGCTGTCATGCTCCTATGGAACAATGCGTGTATGTGTTCGATTGACTGCATTGCTCAACAGTGCTTTGTTAACTGAAGAAATGTATATGTATATTCATAACCCGGTTGACACAATTGACTCATACAATGCAGCTACCAGGTGTGACAGTGTATGTGCACGGTCCTCGCTGTTAGTGGCGCTGTCACTGTAGCATGCAGGTTGGTGTCAGCTGAGTGTTGAACACTGTGTGAACCACTGTGTGTACATGTACACTGCATGGCAGATATAGGAGGTAATGTTGTGTGTCAGTGTGTATGAGGTGATATACTGAGTCAGTGTGTGTGAGGTAATATGATGTGCTAGTGTGTGTGAGATAATGTGATAGGCCTGTGTGTATGAGTGAGTGAGTGAGTTTACTTTTACGCCGCTTTTAGCAATATTCCAGCTATATCACGGCTGGGGACACCAGAAATGGGCTTCACATATTGTACCCATGTGGGGAATCAAACCCGGGTCTTGTGGGGTGTGATCTAACTTAACGCTTTAACCACTACGCTTACCCACCACCTCCCTGTGTGTATGAGGTAATATGATGTGCTAGTGTGTGTGAGAGATGTGATAGGCCAGTGTGCATGAGGTAATATGATGTGCTAGTGTGTATGAAATAATGTGATAAGCCTGTGTGTATGAGGTAATATGATGTGCTAGTGTGTATGAGATAATGTGATAGGCCTGTGTGTATGAGGTAATATGATGTGCTAGTGTGTATGAGATAATGTGATAGGCCTGTGTGTATGAGGTAATATGATGTGCTGGTGTGTATCAGGTAATATGTGCCATTATTACCCTTAAGATGAATTTGTCGAATTATGAGTATAAAGTAATACAATTTTTGCCATAATTTCTTATTTGCTTGTGTCAATAAATATATCCAAAAATAAAACGTATCTGTTTTTCTCTTGTCGTTAAGCAAAACCTCTAATTTTTTTATCATAAACTAAACCATCCCGAATTATCTCCCTTTAAGACCGTTCAGGAAAAATCATGGCGAAACATTTTGCGTCTCATTCTGCAGACGATTGAATGTTGTTGTGTAAAGATAAGCTAAATAATAAGATCTTAAGGGTAATAAATTCGTCACACTGCATTTTGAAAGGGTGTACGGGACTGTAGCACCCTTGTAAATTCCGTATTTCCTTCTGTATCAGGTAATATGATGTGCTAGTGTGTATGAATTAATGTGTGCCAGTATGTATCAGGTAATATGATGTGTTAGTGTGTATGAGGTAATAATATATGAGCCAGTATCAGGTAATATGATGTGCTAGTGTGTATCAGGTAGCATATTGTGTCACTGTGTGTGAGTATTAATATGATGTGCCAGTATGGATTAGGTAATATATGCAGGTGTGAATTTGGTAATATGATGTCAAAGTGTGTATCAGCTGCAAGCAACATGTCACTTTCGTATCAGGTAATATGACATGCCAGTGTGTATTAGGTAATATGATATGCCAAGGTGTATGAGGTAATATGACATGCCAGTGTGTATGAGGTAATATGATGTGCCAGTGTGTATTAGATAATAAAATGTGTTTGTGTATATGGAGTTATATGATGTGCTGGTGTGTAGGAGGTAATAAAATGTGTTTGTGTACATGGAGTAATATGATGTGCTGGTGCGTGGAAGGTAATATAATGTTTTTGTGCATAGGGGTAATATAATGTGTCAGTGGGTATGAAACTATAAACTGTGTCAATAGCATTCAGCTGACGTTGTATGAGGTAATATTTAGCTGATTCATATTCACATTGTCTTGTGACATGATGTGCAACATGACACCGATGTTAAGGTCCTAGACACCGTGTCTGTAACGCCAGCGTGTGCCAGGGGGCCACAAGTAGACAATATGGACTGCAGTACTCCCTAGCTGACCTTGGTGTACATGTGCTGACCACGGCATAGAAGACTGTCACCAGCTGCTGAATCACATTCAGCCAATCATTACAGACAACATTCAATTTAACCAACTGGATCTTAGTGTACAGTAGAAGAGTAGAGACAATGTTGATAGCACCAGTGTTATGGGTTGAGGGATTCAATGGAGTTCGTGTATCAAGTTCATTATATTGTAATCAAAATAATTCAAAGTGAATTTAAAAATTTGAAAGTTAATAGTTGTTTTCATAAATATCTGATGCTAATGATATATATGAAAAACAATTGGTTTTTTAAGGGTTAAAAATAGTATGGGCTGGAATCATGTTCAGTTGCCTTTATCAGATATTTTAGTAGAAAGATATTCATCATGTCTGTGTATGTATGTCCTCCAGAATACTGTCAAATACATTTTACGCTTGTGCTTTTCATGCTCCAGCAATAGCATTCATGTGTTAAATATATACATCTTATCAGCTTATGTATTCCTACCCAGGAAGTGGACTCTCATAGACCCTGAAAATAGCTCTCCAGTACAGACTAATGTGTCACATGATCTAGTCACATGACCAGAACATTCGGACTGTCTATGGTCAGATGATGCTGGTGGAACTATATGTTCCTCTGATGTGATCTATTTATAGCATTCAGCTTCCCCTCCCCATGTGTGTCTAAGTTTCTGGCACTGAGCCTGTGGCTGTGTAGAGCAGGACTGCACTTTAGTCGAAGTGGAGGGATATTTATACAGCTAGTATAGCCTTGTGGATTTATTCTACGATTTTTGGATTACCTTCAACATGGAGAAGAGTGTATTTTGTGGCGGCTTTTTACTTGCGGATTTATTTTGGTAAGTGCATATTTGAATGGCTGCTCTTGTGGTAGGTTATGCATGGATACCGGTATGAGATGGCTGCCTCGGTGTAACACAGCTATTGTTGTATTGTGTGAAACTCCCTCATTATAAGGCTCAGTTCTGATCATGATTTTAAGTTTGGAATAGAATAATGACTCATTTTTCAGGTGAAGTGACTGCACCTTCGATAAGTAGTTATGATTAATGGGTTGAGTAGAGGCGTGTGTCAGTGTAACTTTGTGGTTATTCATCATCTGTTAAGTCATGCGTAACAACTTCACTGAAACATTTGTCACAAATAATGTGATAAGTGTGTTGGTGTTAATTTTATAATGTGTTTGTGTTATATGTATGTATGTAGGTACATACGTATGTACATATGTATCATAGGCAGATCCAGAGGGGGGGTGCAGGGGTGCGCACCCCCCCTTTTGTGCTGAAAGTTTGTTAAATGACCATTGAAACTTGGGTGAAAATGAAGTGTGCACCCCTTCTTTTCTCAATAGTGTGCAGCCCCCCTTTCTCAAAAAGCTGTATCCGCCCCTGTGTATATATACACAGATACTTTCCACAGGTATAATAAATAAGGCTACGGTGGCAGAGCAGTATAAGGTGCTCCAAATGAACAGGGTTGTGCCCCTTGCCTGCCAGGATCTGCTGTTCCTTCCACTATCGACTAGGCCACAGCAGTGGTGTAGCAACGTTACCACAATTAGGAATCACAAGCTGCAAAGA